TCATAAAATAATAAAAATTTCACAGGAATTTAATTATTTACAAATTTTCTATAAATTTCTTCGCAATTATTTAATTATTTTCATTTTTACATGAATTCAATTATTTTCATAAATAATAAAAAACAGTGCAGATTTTAATTTTTTTTAATACAATTCTATTCCAATTTCAGTAAAAATGTAATTATAATTGTTCTTAAAAAATTTTTTTAGATTTGTCACAAGGAACTCAATTATTTAAAGATTTATTGATAAAATTCTTTATGGAAATTTAATTTTAGGAAACATGCAATTATTGAATAAATTGTTTTTCTTTTGTATTCAATTAATTGAATTCTAGTAGAAGTTTCTAATGACAATTGATTTAAAAATTGATTTCAGGTACAATTTTAGATTATAGTTAAATATTAAAAACATTAGAGCGTAAATTTTTAAAAACAATTGAATTTTCAAATTCAAATCTTCGAAAATCAGAATTTTTCATACTTGTAACAAATTCTGTGGAATTAATTTTTTTGAGAAAGTTTAATGGCCGATGTTTTTTTAAATAATTGGAAGTCTTTATTTTAAAACAGGGTTGCCACAAAAATTAAATTTTGTTTTTCCCTGATTTCCAGACAAAATTTTGATTTTTTTCCTGACCTTAACGAATATTCTGATTCACTCTGAAAACTATTAGATACTCAAAAAAATATTCTATTACATTTATTTACAAATTTCTTTAATTGTAAAATTATTCGAAAACATCAATACATACCTTCTTTTTCAAACAAATTTTTAATCATTACTATTTTTCTGTAGGAATTAAGATTTTCAAATTCAGACCTTTTCAAAATTAAACAACTTATGAGAATATTATTATATTATTTAATATTATAAAATTTATCATAAGAATATTGTAACTACAAATTAAAAATCCTAAATAAAATTCATTTTTTAATCAATTTTTATTACAAAATTTTTCGAGAATTCAATTATTTAAATACAAAAAGGTATAATTTTTAAAAAACGAAATATTTCTTAAAATTTAATTTTAAGAAGAATATTTATCAAAATTTAAAAAAATAGGAAATTGAATTCTTTTCGCAAATTTAACAAAATTTTAAAAGGAAATACAATTTTCTATCATTTTATTTAAAATTGTGTACAAAATAATTGAAATTCTGCGTCAAGTTTTGTTACTTATAAAAATAGTAGAATTCTTGCAAGTAATTTTATTAAACATTTTTTTAAAGGATTGAATTCCTGTGAAGAATTTTATTAAAATCTTTTGAATAATTAAATTTCTTAGATTTTTTAAAAGTTTTTGAAAATAATTCAATTTCTATCGAGATTAAAAATAATTGAAATCTGACGAAGAATTTTATTACATTTTTTAAAATTGAATTGCTATCTAAATGTTTATTTTTTAATAGAATATTTATTAAAATTTTAAAGAATTGGAAATTAAATTCTTTCCGCAAATTTTAAAAAGAAATGCAATTTTCTATCGTTTTATTTAAAGTTGTGTACAAAATAATTGAAATTCTGCGGTAAGTTTTGTTACTTATAAAAATAGTAGAATTCTTGGAAGTAATTTTATTAAACATTTTTTTAGAGCTTTGAAAAATAATTTGAACCGAACTATTCGTATTTTTTGCCTATAGTTTCGGACTTCAGCCTCATGAAAATTCGACACTCTAGTTATCACAAAATTCGAACCAAACTCAGTTTTGTTCGGTTTTGGAACACTGAAATGTCGAAATTTTAAAATTCGACATTTCAGTAGAATTTTTGATTGTCAAATTTTCGACATTCTACGTATCGGCGCCCCAAAACGGTACAAAACTCGGTTCGGTTATAATGTTGCACAGCTCTAATTTTTTTTAAGGCTTCATACCACTTTGTCATCTTCAAAAAAGCAAAAAAATTTTATTATTGATTTCGAAAGTAAAATATGTCAAAAATGTGGTGTAAAATTTTTAGAAAGATGCCAGCACTCAAAATATATTTTTTTCAATACTATTTGAGCACGTACACGGCTATGTAAGTATAAAATACAAACCTTAAACGCGTTTTTCTCAAAACCACATTTTTTTATGCTGCGGGATGTTTTCTCGGAAACTACTGGACCGAATCTCAAAATTTTTGTACGAAAATCTTCGTCACATGGGTGGGTATCGCCGGAACTAGAATTATTTAAAAATATTAATTTTTTTTTAAACCGAAAAACTGCAAAAAAACTTTAATTTTCGAAAAAAAATTCTAAATTGCCGCCATTTTCTTATTTTTGCATAAAAATTAAAAATTCTAGTTCGGTCGATAGCCACAGTCCTACTGAAGATGAATCAATTTAAATTTTGTGTTTTAGATTTTTTTAACCTGAGAAATCAATCCCGCAGCTGGCATCGGTATTTTTAGCAGGTCTAAAATTATTGTTAAATTTTAAATAAACAAATAATATTTTTTTAATAAAATTAGGTTTTTTATAAAGTTAAAGAGTATATTTATTGAACTAAAAAAATGCAAATTAATACAATCCATAGGAATCGTAAAAAAAATTCTAGAAAATAGCTTCATTTTCAAGCGTGTAAAGTGGTATGAATCCTTAACCCTTTGAGGACCAAATTTTTTCTTAAAAAATCGCGATTTTTCATTTTTAAGCAAACTTTTCAAGGAAAGTTATTGATGTTTTTTACTTAAAGACCAGTGTTTGTCATACGAAATTTTTCAGACTATGTGAAAATTATTGTTTCAATATTCAGTTTTGAAAATTAGGAAACTTATGCACGAGTTAATAAACAAATGTTCATGTTGCCTGAAAGCAACACTGGTCCTCAAAGGGTTAAAGGATTGAATTCGGGTGAATATTGATTGAATTTCGGGTTTATTTGTGAAATTAAATAAATTCCGGAGAAAAATATCATTCTTTAAGAGAGTAATTAATTTCTTGTGAAGAATTTTATTTAAATTTCTTTAAATAATTGAATTCCTATAAATGAATGTATTATTTGTGAAAATAATTCAATTTTTAAGACGAATTGTATTGAAAGTAATGAAATTGTATATGGAAATTTTATTAAAATTGCAATTTTATTAATTAAATCTTGGAAAGAATTTTGTCAACATTAAATTATACAATTTTTTCAAAATTTTTATTTAAGTTTCTTGGAATAATTGCATTTTTCTGAACTATTTTTTTCAACTCTCTGAATGTATTTAAATTCTTTCGAGAAACGTCATTAGAAAATTAAAAATAATTGAATTGGTTTGAAGAAATTTATAAAAAAGTTGGTAAGCAATTGAATTCCTGTGAAACTTTTATTCAAATTTTGTTTAAATAATTGAATTCTTTTGGAAAACTTTATTAAAATAGTAAATATGATCAAGATTATTATAAATTAAGGAAAATTTTTTTAAATAATTGAAATTTTGACAAGAATTTTATTAAGTTTTCTGGAAATAATTGAATTTTGGAAAAGAATTTTATTATTTATAAAAATAATTGAAATTTTACCGAGAATTCTTTTTAATTTTTAAAACAATTGAATTTATGCCAAAAAGTTTATCACTTTTGAAAATATTTTAATTTCCTATAATCAATTGTTCCTTAAATTTCTATTTAAATTCATTAAAGATTGATATTTTCTACAATTTCAAATTTAAACCTTTGAATTTTATCTATTCATAAAGATTGTAAGCGCAACTCTTTTGAAATCCAATTAATTTTGCAATTTTAAAGTAAAATTATTCATTAAATAATTTCTAAGTAATAATTTTATGACAGTTCTTTAAGAAATAAGTTATTTAAAAAAGAATTATTAGCAGAAAAAGAAAAAATTAAAGGATTTGTATTATAATTCTTGACGATATCATAAATTATGAGAAAAACAAAAAAGACTCAAAAATTCAGAACTCTGTTATAAATTCTATAAATTTAATTTGTTAATAAAATTGTTGTAAACAAATATTGTTTATTTACACAATAACTGTAGTAAATTTTTATGAAACATCTTACTCGTAAATAAACAATTTGTTTATATAGTTTGTTGATAACAATTTTATTAACATATTAACAATTTGTTTATCCTTCGGAGAACACACCTCTTTTTTCGATCATTTTTCAATAGTCAACCAATTTTAAACTTTTCATCTGATCAACATAAGAATTTTTTTAAAATATAGTTTAAACTCTGTAAAATAAGTGTCTGTACTTGAAAAACCTTCTGAAAAATATTATATAATAGATAAAAAGCTTTTCGTAAAAAATCGTTGGGTCAGAATGACCCCATGAAATTGACTCCGACATGAAATTTGTGATATTCAAAAAAATAAATCTTTTTTCTCAAAAATATATTAAAAAGTTTAATTTGTTTAAAGAATATTTAATAAAGTAAAATAATTTTTTGTATCATATAATGTTAGTTGGATATTAATCGTTGCTTAACTATTACACAATATTTTTTTTATATGACTAACAACCTAATAATTTTTAATTTCATAAAGCTCGGATCTGAATTGAAGGTGTCAGTAAACAAGAAAATGGAGTATAAAATGGTGTCAATTTGAAAATATAATGAAACTTTTAAAAGAGCAGTAAAAATGATTCTGGAGGAAAAAAAATAGAAGTGAGTTTTCAATATGTATGGGAAGAAATGTATGAAGCAGCCAAGGTAAAAGAAATAAACGTTAGTGATGACAATTCAAAAAATAAGGTGCATAACATTACTTTCGCAGATTTCTTAAAGGAACCTTTAAAATTAAAAAAATCAGATGGTAGAAAACAAAACTCTAAAAATGTTATCGGGCAAGATGAAAAAATTAAAATTGTAGATAATGTCAATGTTAGGAAAGCGAAAGTAATGTCAAGTACAAAAGCCATTGTTAATGATAACATTTTATTAACTGCAAATAAAAATAAGCAGATTGATTCTTGTAAATTAGATTTCAAATCAGGTATAAAACTTTTTGTTGATGTTTTTAATCATGCGATGCAAAACAAAGATAAAATAGAAACTAACAAAATGATAAAATTTCAAATTGGAGGGAAAGGTGAGTGTTTGTTTCGCTCATTTAGGTTTACACAGTCTAGCACACAGAAACATCACGAAAAGATTCGAAACGAAGTTGTACAGTTTGTAGCTGATAATTGGGATGAATATAGCGAAATGTGCAACAATGTCCATTTTCAATTTGCGCGCGAAACAGGTGTAACTTATTTCAATTCAGAAGCCGAGTATATTAACTTTATGGGACAAAATAAAACATATGGCACAGAATTTAAGATATCTATATTGTCTGCATTGTATGGTATAAGAATAATAATTTTTTTAAAAGAAAACAGTTATTACAAAGTGATGGAAACATATAATTTAGATAATTCTGATGAGTGTGCAATGATTTTATTTTCGGGTAGCAGGAACGGTGGTCATTTCGAAGTTTTAAATTTTGTTGAAAAGATTCTTCCACAAAAGAACAAAGAAAATTTAAAAAACAAAAAATCCAAAGATCAAAAAAGCTTTAACCAATATAATTAAAAAAACTTTAATGAGAGAATAACAAATGTTGAAAATGAGTCGGTGTTGAAAACTAATATCGATAAAAGTGATAAAATTAATTAGGTATATTAAAGATTATAATAACACAAATAAAAATATTGAAAATCAATCAGTCTTTAATTTAAATGAAAATGCAAATAATGAAATTGTTGAGGGTAAAGATTATGCTAAGAACATTAAAAATGTTGAAAATCAATCAGTTCTCAATTCTAATGACAATGAATGTGAAGAAATCGTTAAGATTAAAGATGTGACAATTAAAAATAGTGTAAGTGAATCAATGCTTAATTTTAATGTAAGCAACAGTGACGGAATTATTAATACTGAAAGTAGTAATGACATAATCGAAAATGTTAAAAATCAATCCGTTCTTATCTTTAATGGCAATGAAATTAACGAAATTATCGAGAATAAAGATTATAATGAAAACATTAATAAAGATTATAGTGAGAACAACAAAAATGTTGAAAGTAATTCGGTGTTGAAAACTAATATCGATAAAAGTGGTAAAATTGATTATATTAATGATAATAACACAAATAAAAATGTTGCAAATCAATCGCTCTATAAATCTAAGGACAATGAATGTGACGAAATCGTTAAGATTAAAAATGTGACAATTAAAAATAGTGTAAGTGAATCAATGCTTAGATTCAGTGAAAGTAACAGTGACGGAATTATTAATACTGAAGGTAATAATGACACAATCAAAAATGTTAAAAATGAATATGTTCTTAACTTTAATGTCAATGAAAGTAACGAAATTATCGAGAATAAAGATTATAATGAAAACAGTAAAGATTATAGTGAGAACATTCAAAATGTTGAAAATATTCCGGTTCTTAATTCTAAAGACAATAAAAGTTACGAAATAGTTAATATTAAAAATGTGACAGTAAAAAATATTGAAAGTGAATCAGTGTTCAATTTTAATGACAATGAAAGTGAAAAAATAATTAATATTAAAGACTTTAAAGTTCAAGAAGCGTTAAATAAATATGGAGACAAGAAAGAAAGATTTAATAATATTATTCAAGACGAGAGTAGCGATTCCAAACGTGAAGTAGTATCTATCAGTAGTGGTAATGAATCTTGCGAAGAAGAAAATAACTTGAGGAGAAATAATAAAATAAGTAAGTGGCATAGTATAAACGATGAAGTCGATGACAACTTTAATGATATTCAGAAATTATTACGCACAGCTGAAAACTATAGAAAATTTAAAGAAAAAGAAGAAAAATTAAAACAAAAAAAGTACCGAAAAAAATAATACTGGAAGATGGAATTCAAATTCAAGACAGAAAAAAGTTACCAATTCGATTGAAAAAATTTTATGTGATGAAAAAATTATGGAAGAAGATCGAGTGAAGAAAAACATGAAAGGGAAAAATTTGAAATTTTTTTTTTTTTTTTTTTTTTTTCACAACTGATATAGATGTAACTACTGATGATGATAGATCTACATCTTCTGACAGTGATCAACAGGAAAATAATGAAGAAATTGTTCAAAAACAGAAAGATGAAGAGATTCTAAAAGCAAAAAGAAGAAAAAAGAGAGGAAATAAAAAATCAAACAAGAGCAGCGAAGATAGTGCAACTAGTGACTTAGAGACATCTGAAGAAGAAAAATCAAGAAAAACAAAAAATCAAAGACTGAAATATACAATTGATATTTGTAAAATTGACATTCCTGTTCACATGATAAAAAACTATGAAACTAATGAAATTGATGTAAATTATCTAAAAGCAATGTGTAAAAAAGTGTTACCCGGAAATTTCAGATGCCTATGTGTGGTGCTTTTCTATTCAAATAGACAAAACAACAAGGTAGCTAATTCTATCGTTCTTTATGGAAAGTGCACAATAACGCACACTCAACATTACCGATTTGAGGCAATTAATTGAACAGAAGCAGTAGTGTCAGTTACTGTCAAAAGCCATAAAGAAATTCCAAATAGACATGATGAGACAGACATTCGCAAATATGAACAAATAAGAGGCAAGGAAAAAGAAAAAATAAGAGAAATTTTAAAATATAGGAATTCCAAATATTTCCAATTATTATCTAATAACCAAAATGTTGATCTAGAGTTGTGGCACGATGGGTACCCTCAGCGTGTAATGAGACTACCAACTGTACAAAAAATCAGTTCAGAAAATAATTTGAAAGATCGACAAAAACTAAAAAGTGCGGATATTGAAGACCTTATGTAATTTTGGTTAAATGAATCAAAATTAGTGGATCCATACTTTAGGTATTTAGAATTTCCTTTAAAAATAGTTTTATATACTGAAGAGCAACAAGATTTAATAAAATGTGAGATAAAAAAAGTAATTGGGCATTTAGACTCTACTGGAAAAGTTGGACGATTACCAACAGCACTGAATAAGGATAGACTAATGTACTACGCGATTGTTTGTAGATTAAACGAAACAACAATACCTACTGCGGAAATGTTAACAGTGAAGTATGACGCAAATACGATAGGTATATTTTTAAAACAATACAAAAATTTCTTGATTACCCACAATTATTCTTGGCCGTTTTATAAAGTGATAGTTGTAGATTGGTCCTGGGCAGAAATGCATGCCATTTCCGAAGTTTGGAACAACATGGGATTTTTACTCTATTTGGATGTTACGTTCGAATATCCTGTAAATGGAAAGCATTTTCCTTCTCATTAAACGATTCCATTATCATGTATTGCGCACATACTTAACAGAATTCCGAAGACAATAAAAAAATATTTCAGTCATCTTCTAGATAAAAAAAATTTTTTGATGGACATATTTGCCTTAATACTTTTGGGAAGAGACATCATAGAAGTTGATGTAATATATGATGATATGTTAAACCTATGATTAACTAAAGATAAAAAGAAAGCAGAACAGTTTCTACTTGAATTAACAGCCATAAAATTAACAAAAAATGACAAACGAAATAATAAAAAATCAATACATATGCAAATTTTGTAAGCGAGCAGTAAACAAATGTAAAAAAACCAAAAACATTTTCACTTTCAATTGCACCCAAAAAAATTTTACTTTCAACATTCACTCATAAAAATTTTCACTTTCAATTTTACCCAAATATTTTTCACTTTCAACTTTCATTTTTAACTTTCGACCAAAAAAATGTTTAATTTAAATTTCAGCCAAAAAATTTTCAAATTTAACAAAAAAATTTAATTTTTGGTCAAATCATTTTCACATTCTCTTTCGCATAAGTAATTTAGGAAATGTTGCTCAGATTAAGATCATGATTTCTAAATGAAAAGTACCTTAAAAACTCATATGTACAGTCGTGATAAAAAATGCCTTTTTTTAGGGAAGGCACTAATGTTACAAAGTTTGCCTTCCTTCTATATTGTATAAAAAATCAGCCAATGGAATAGCAGAATTCTGTTGGAATTATTGACACGAACTATAAATAATATAAAAATTGTGCAAAACGCTTAAAATAATTGCCTTCCCTGAGAGAAGGCATTCCTGAACTGTACTTAAGAGATGTAGCTACAGTCGCTCTTCATAATATTATTGATATAATTAGAGTTACAATTTTTATTTAATTTTAATTAATATAAATTTAGAAACAACATTTAAAGAAATTTAAAAAAAGAAATTTTATATAACAATAAAACTTTTTAAAATAAATGGACTTGTTGAATGGAAACGAAGACAGCGAATTCGACTTCGAAGCGGTTGACGCGACGCTAGTACGAGATAATACGGACGAAGTCTTAAGGGAATGTCGAGAAGATAAAAATGAATTAAAATTTATACAGCTAAAATCTATTACGCTTAAATATTTTTATACAACTCAGGCGTATTATGGTCACTTCATCTACCTGTACAGGCGCGTACTAAGTCCCCCCTTATAACCCAGCAGTCAATAAAGAAACCATTATGGCCCTAGGAAGATAAAGGGTATATTATTGACCGCTCACAGGTCAATAAAGTACCCTTTATCTCCCTAGGGCAATAATGGTTACTTTATTGACCAGCTGGGTTATATGGGAGAACTTAGCATGCACCCGTACAGGTAGCATAGAGTAACCATAATACGCCTTTGTTGTATAAAGCAAAGTATGGAACAAGGGAGTTAACCCCGTTTATGACCTCGCACAATATTAAAAAACTCGTCTTTGCACTCGCTTCGCTCGTGCTACGAGTCGTTTTTCAATATTGTGCTCGGTACATAAACTCGGATGTACCTCCCTTGTTGCATAATGTACTATTACTTGTATATTTTAGAAAAATTGTTTCAAATCGCAATAAAATTGATTTTAATTATATTTTTAAGGGAAAAATCATCCCTTTTGAACACATAATTTTTATAGTCTTGAATATAAAAAACTTAAACTTAATTAAAAAATAGGTACGTTATTTCGATAATATGTGGGTAAGACTCCGTAAAAAAATCGATTTGCAAGTGGTCTTCCGACTTCTTTAAAAGCTTGGGAAATAGAAGTCTTATATAAGTTATATTTAACCCTAAAAGGATTTTGAAAAATTTTCAAAATGGCGGCTGCTACGCCATATTGAAAATGAAGTGTTGCGTTTTTTTCAAAAATTGATCGATTAAACGAACTTACCTTAAGTGAAGTTCAATCGAAATTATGCGAGTGAGTCTCGTCCGAATAGATCAAATGTAGAAACACAAGTTGCTCGATCCGATCCACAGATTTTTTAAAGTTCGCGCCAAAATTTACCCTCTCCGCCACCAGGGGACGGGTCTCCGGCTGTAGCGTCATTTCGCTTTTTTGTTTCTTTATTTTTCAAATCAATTACGGGTTTGGGAAGGGTGGGTGTGACCTATTCGGACAAGACACACTGGCATAATTTCGATTGAACTTCACTTAAGGTAAGCTCGTTTAATCGATCAATTATGCTTCGTGGTCTCGTCCTCTAGATCAAATGGAGATGTTTAAAGCATTTTTTGATTTGAAAAAGTAGTTATTTATTTTTCAACTACAGAGCTTAAAATAGTTTTAACAAACTCGTGATTGTTGTCGCAAAGTGGACGATTGTAAAACTGGGCAAATACATTAGAATTGTTGCCCCATCCTGCGGTTTTTCTTATGGTATCGATGCTAAGCCCATTTCTGTGTGCCGCAGACACTGAGGCATGTTTGGCACTGTAGCCCGCAAAACTTGAAATATCGATACCGCTTTTTCTTAGCGTTTCTTTCACCCATCGACTAATGGTTTGCGAGCTTGCTGCGTGGTGTGGTTTTTTATAAGTTATGAATAGGTTGTCTTCTTCTTTTGGTCTGATTGACCTTGTTTTATTTATGTACACTTGCAGCAAACTTGCAACACATAGCTCTGGTTGCTCGTTGAAAATAGGGAGGTGGAGCAACGGTTGTTCTTTCCCGACTTTTAATATATATTTTTATCGAATTTTTTAATATTTTTATGTTTGCTATTTTTATTTTTGATAATGTTTGTAGGCGTTGCGCCGTGACTAAAATTAATAGTGTGCATAATTTTTTTGTCAAACTTGACAAACTTGAGGCCTCATTTGGGTAAAAGGTGATAAGGTATTTCAGAACAGGGGCTGGATCCTAGATGTCCTGATATTTTGCCCTTTGGGGTTTGAGGACCGATGCTCCTTTACAGAACCTCTTGATTGCAGGGTTATTTCCTAGATCGCGATGTAGAACGAGTGCCAGGGCTGATCGATATGTGTTGACTGTTCCATATGAATTTGCAGACTCCGTTATTTTTGTTAGAAACTCGAGTGTATCTGGACGAGGAGCTTTATTTCCGTTCGAAACGGCGCCCCATCCTGACAACGAAGCGTCTGTAAATATTTCTATGTCAAAGTTTGACAATTTAATAGGGTTGCTGGCAGTGTGGATGTTATTTATCCACCATTCGATGTCTGGTAGTAATGATTTTGAAAGGGACATTTGTTTATCAAAGTTTTCGTTTTCTATTGTTAGTGCTAAGTATTTTTCTCTTTCGAGGTTTTTTGTATAAAGGGGCCCGTATTTTACTGCGGGGCATGCCGCTACTAAAGTTCCTACGAATTTGGCTAAATCACGAATCTTGCATTGTTTTTTAATTTGAAAGGATTTAGCGAGTTGAGAAATATTATTCTTTTTTATTTCTGTAAGTTCGACTGACATTTTTTCCGTGTTCCACATGAATCCTAAGTATTTTATTGTCTTAGTGGGAATGGTGACCGATTTTTCGTTGTTTACTAGAAATCCTAGGTTATTTAATAATCGACAAGTTATTTCTATATTTTTAAGACATTGATTTTTTGATTTGCCGATTAATAAAAAATCGTCGAGATAGATTACTGAAAGTAGGGATTGTGATCTGAGATTTTCTGCGACTGGCTTCATTATTTTAGTAAAAATGAATGAGGCCGTGCATAAGCCGAATGGGACGCATAGAAATTCGTAAAGGGAATTATTAAAAGAAAACCTGAGATATTTTCTATCTGTTTCCGCTATTGGCATTAGTAGGAATGCGTCGGACAGGTCTAAGGTTGCCAGATGCGCGTTGTGAAAAAGTATTCTTGATACTGTTTTCCTATCCTCGAGTTTGAAATGAGGAGGGTTAATAAATTTATTTAATTTTTTTAAATTTAAGATGAATCGTTTTTCCCCGTTTTGTTTTTCTCTGAGAAAATAGGGAGAAAGGAACTGGTTTTTGACAGGCGACCATTTGGAGATTGCGCCTTTTTTTATTAACCCTTCAATTGCAGTTTCGTAAAATAATGTAAGTTTTAATTTTAATTTAATTTTTTTTTTGAAAATTTCAAAATGAAAATTTTTTGAAATTAAAAAAAAAATTCTCTATTTCTATTAAAGTGACATTTTTATGTATTTTCTCATTTCATTCTCTTATGTGATCTACTTAATAAAACAATTTTGCCCGACATGATTTCAGGGTGTGTCACAGTAAATAACTCAAAAACCATACCCGGTACATTTTTATGTTGTATGTAAATGGTTAATTTTAAAAAACCTGTCAAAAATTTTTGCAACTTATTACTAGTGGGTTATTGAGGTGGCTAAATACAAATCTGAAATTTATATAAAAAAATATTTTTTGACAAACAAAAAAATTAAGATAAATTTTAGGATTTTTTGAGTTTTTTACCGTGTTGCACTCTAAAATCATCTAGGCCATTATTTTATTAAGTAGATCACATAAGAGAATTAAATGAGAAAATACATAAAAATGTCACTTTAATAGAAATAGAGAATTTTTTTTTAAATTTCAAAAAATTTTCATTTTAAAATTTAAAAAAAAAAGATTTTTGAAAATTTTTTTTGGAATCTCTTTAATTGTTTTTTCAACATATTTAAAGCTGATTAAAAAGCATACAGTAGTTTTTGAGAAAAATGCGTTGTTCGATTTTTGTCCCCTCCATAAGTTTCAAGAAACTCAAAATTTTGGGTTAAAAATTTCAAAAAGTTATTTTTAAGTGGGTAGGAATGAATGAGAAAAATATATTCGGGTCACTTTTTCCATATTTATTTGACTATACCGTATCACATGAAATTGCCCATATGTGCATTACCGTACGTGACAAATAGCATTACCACGGTTTTTGACATTTTACTCAAAAACTATATTTTTAAAAAATTTGGAAAAAATATATGTTAAAGAGGAAATTATAAGGTACTTTTTACAACAAAATAGAAAGTTGTCACTTTAAAAAATAACCCTAAAATAATTTTTTGAAAATTTCAAAAAAAAATTTTGGAAATTTTTTTTGAAAAAAAAAATTTGGTTTTTTTTTCTAAAATCGTCTTATTTATTTTTGAGTTCAAAATTGCAGAAAGTTATAGTCATATGGATAGTAATATATGGGCCAAATTTGAGAAAAATAGATGCGGGTGCAGTTTTTGCACACTTAACCCCCTAAGCCCTTTTAGAAATTTTTTTTTGTCATAATATAAAATTAAACTACGTATTTTTAATTATATCGCCTGTTAATTTTATTAAAATCGATCAAAAAGTTTCAGAGATATTAATTTTTGAAAAAAACCCAATACTTATTTTAAATATGGCGTAGCAGCCGCCATTTTGAAAATTTTTCAAAATCCTTTTAGGGTTAAATTTAACTTATCTATTTCCCAAGCTTTCAAAGAAATCGGAAAACCACTTGCAAATCGCTTTTTTTGACGGAGTCTTACCCATATATTATCGAAATAACATACCTATTTTTTAATTAAGTTTAAGTTTTTTATATGCAAGACTATAAAAATTATATGTTCAAAATGGATGATTTTTCCCTTAAAAATATAATTAAAATGAATTTTATTGCGATTTGAAACAATTTTTCTGAAATATACAAGTAAAAATATTTAAGCGTAATAGATTTTAGCTGTATATATTTTAATTCCTTTTTATCTTCTCGACATTTCCTTATTTAGTCTTCCGTATTAACTTGTACTAGCGTCGCGTCAACCGCTTCGAAGTCGAATTCGCTGTCTTCGTTTCCATTCAACAAGTCCATTTATTTTAAAAAGTTTTATTGTTATATAAAATTTCTTTATTTAAATTTCTTTAAATGTTGTTTCTAAATTTATATAAATTAAAAATGAAAGTTGAAAGTGAAAAATATTTGGGTAAAATTAAAAGTGAAAATTTTTATGAGTGAATGTTGAAAGTAAAAATTTTTTTGGTGCAATTGAAAGTGAAAATTTTTTGGGTGAAAATGTTTTTGTTAAAATTCAAAGTGAAAATGTTTTGCGTGAAATTGAAAGTGAAAATGTTCTGGGTGAAATTGAAAGTGAAAATGTTTTGTGTAAAATTAAAAATTTTTTTGGGTGAAATTGAAAGTGAAAATTTTTTTAGTTGAAAATTGTAAGTGAAAATGTTTTGGGTGAAATTGAAAGTGAAAATGTTTTGCGTGAAATTAAAAATTTTTTTGGGTGAAATTGAAAGTGAATATGTTTTGCGTTAAATTGAAAGTGAAAATGTTTTAGGTGAAATTAAAATTGAAAATGTTTTGCGTGAAATTAAAAATTTTTTTGGGTGAAATTGAAAGTTAAAATTTTTTGCTTTAAATTGAAAGTGAAAATGTTTTGGGTGAAATTGAAAGTGAAAATGTTTTGCGTAAAATTAAAAATTTTTTTGGGTGAAATTGAAAGTGAAAATGTTTTGCGTGAAATTGAAAGTGAAAATGATTTCGGTGAAATTAAAAGAGAAAAATTTTTTGGGTGAAATTTAAAGTGAAAATGCTTTGCGTGAAATTGAAAGTGAAAATTTTTTTGGTGAAATTAAATGTGAAATTTTTTTGCGTGAAATTGAAAATTTTTTTGGGTGAAATTGAAAGTGAAAATGTTTTGCGTTAAATTAAAAGTGAAAATGTTTTGGGTGAAATTGAAAGTGAAATTTTTTTGCGTGAAATTGAAAGTGAAAATTTTTTTTGTGAAATTAAATGTGAAATTTTTTTGCGTGAAATTGAAAGTGAAAATTCTTTTGGGTGAAATTGAAAGTGAAAATGTTTTGCGTTAAATTAAAAGTGAAAATGTTTTGGGTGAAATTGAAAGTGAAAATGTTTCGGGTGAAATTAAATGTAAAATTTTTTTGGGTGAAATTGAATGTGAAATTTTTTTAGTTGAAAATTGTAAGTGAAAATGTTTTGGGTGAAATTGAAAGTGAAAATGTTTTCCGTGAAATTAAAAATTTTTTTGGGTGAAATTGAAAGTGAATATGTTTTGCGTTAAATTGAAAGTGAAAATGTTTTAGGTGAAATTAAAATTGAAAATGTTTTGCGTGAAATTAAAAATTTTTTTGGGTGAAATTGAAAGTTAAAATTTTTTGCTTTAAATTGAAAGTGAAAATGTTTTGGGTGAAATTGAAAGTGAAAATGTTTTGCGTAAAATTAAAAATTTTTTTGGGTGAAATTGAAAGTGAAAATGTTTTGCGTGAAATTGAAAGTGAAAATGATTTCGGTGAAATTAAAAGAGAAAAATTTTTTGGGTGAAATTTAAAGTGAAAATGCTTTGCGTGAAATTGAAAGTGAAAATTTTTTTTGTGAAATTAAATGTGAAATTTTTTTGCGTGAAATTGAAAGTGAAAATTTTTTTGGGTGAAATTGAAAGTGAAAATGTTTTGCGTTAAATTAAAAGTGAAAATGTTTTGGGTGAAATTGAAAGTGAAAATGTTTCGGGTGAAATTAAATGTAAAATTTTTTTGCGTGAAATTGAAAGTGAAAATGTTTTGGGTGAAATTAAAAGTGAAAATTTTTTTGTTGAAATTGAAAGTGAAAATGTTTTGCGTGAAATTGAAAGTGAAAATGATTTGGGTGCAATTAAAAGAGAAAAATTTTTTGGGTGAAAATTGAAAGTGAAAATGTTTTGGGTGAAACTGAAAGTGAAATTTTTTTGCGTGAAATTGAAAGTGAAAATGTTTTGGGTGAAATTAAAAGTGAAAATTTTTTTGTTGAAATTGAAAGTGAAAATGTTTTGCGTGAAATTGAAAGTGAAAATG